ATTTTTATATCGCATCCTAATTGAGTTCCAAAAGAGTTTTAGTGAAAATTGGAAACTGCAAAATCACATCAGAAATTTACACCATGCAACCGCATGGTGTTAACCCATGCGATCGCATGATACAAGTGATTTTGGTCCTGGAATTCCCTGTTGGGGTGTGTGTGGCCGCATGGGAATAAACCATGCGACCGCATGGTTGACATTATTTCCATTCTACCATTTTGGTCCCTAAACTCTATTTTCTTGTTTATTGGCCTCCTTTCTTCGTCCATCTTGTTCCATCATCTCACAATGATTCCCAATTGATACTTAGCTCATTCAACTTCTTGATTCGCCTTTTAGTTCAACTTTTGGGTACTTGCACTTTGGTCCCTGAACTTTCACTTTGCTTTATTTTGGTCCTTTTTCGAATCTTTTCACGTGAATTCCACCATGTCCATCAATATAACCTACAATACAAGAATTAAACAAAATTAAGCCACAGTTCAAACACTTTGGTCGTATTTAAGTCATGTTTGTGTGCTAAATAGGAGTATAAAAACACACTTATCAAACCTCCAAACTTGAACTATTGTTTGTCAAACAATATAGTGACTTAACTCTAAATAAATATGGCTAAATAACCAATCGTGTCTCAGGATTGGAACTTTGTGTTTGACATCCAAAAAAGTTTCAATAGTATATGAATGAAATCAACATTTACTTGTTAAGTGCACATTTGATGTGTGTGTGTTTGAGCTCATGCCAACATATCAAGTTCATGATAGAGTTAATCCCAACCCAGAGTGGTCAATTATGTCCTCACTTTGCTCGAGAGATACACAACCTCCCCCAAACTTATTCTTTTCACTCAATTATCCTAGGATTATGTTTTAAATTTAGGCTTTTAATAACTGTAATCCTTGCCCTCTCTTAGTTTGGTTATACTCACTATCACGTTCACATGTCGACAAGTTAAGGCTCTCCTAGATTTGATTGCTTTAACACTTAAGATTTAACTAGATTACTTGTCTCGACTGAAAGGTGAAATTTTATCAACCGAATGTCTAAGGGCCTCATCCATACCATCATGTGTTTTGTTATTTGAAATTTTTTATGTCATTTTCTCTTTTGCTTTCTATATAACCCTTGTAACAAGCTTTTGGTGACTCCCAGACCATTTGGCCTTAGGACACCAGGTTTTACACCCTTGCAGTCTCATTCAATCGAGTTATAAAGGCTCAATCAGATGACTTTTTATTAGTCTCCTCCCCTCTTACTTTCTGTATTACCCCTTTAGCGAGCTTTGAGCCAGTGTCTCCCAAACCAGTTGGCTTTAGGACACCAAATATCCTTACAGGCTTACTTGCTTGAGTCATACAGGCATGGAAAACGTGTCCTAAAATGAGCCATTATTATTTTTTCCGGACACTTGGTCTCTAAAATCAACCCCCAATTTAAAACTTTCACCTAGTCTTTGTCTTACCAGTCTAGTAAATCCACACAACAAAATTCATGTATAGAGCCCCTACTTATCTCAATGTTCCTTTATAATGACTCAGTCATCTCCAAACTATCTTAAGGTGGTTGCTATTAATCTCAGCAGAGGGTTTTTATTCTTCTATTATTTTGTGTTAAAAACTCCAATCATTGACTCAACATGTATGTCGTGAGTGGTGTGCATAAAGAGTGTCATATACTACACCAACATATATCAGTTAATATATTCAGCACATGTCCACAATTTCTAAATTATACTAGTCCAATGATCACATCATAGCCGGCAAGGCTATCAAGTCCACACAAGCGTGCAATGAACTTAATACAACATATTGATTAGAATCTAATAGTCACTCATCAAGCACACAACATGAAACCAATAAACAAAGGTATTGATGGATTGTGATAAATTTAAAATCGATACCATGCCGACAGTTTAGTTCAAAATATGCCACCACCCTCCAAACTTATACATTACATTTTCCTCAATGTGAAAAGTAGAAATTTAAATGTCAGAATTTTAAGGAAAAGTGCAAATTGAAAATAACAAAATGAGTTAAATAGGACTCTCTTGATCACCGTGGTGGTGGTAACTGAAAATTGGGTCCTGCAGTGTCATCTCCTAGTAGTGAAGAGATTGGACAAGATTTGCCTCAATAGTTGTGACTACTGGATTTGCTCGGCCTACACAGCTCTCATCATATTACCTTGCTTCCTAGCCTCTGCTTCCATGCTACGTATTCGATCCCACGTCTCATTGACCCTCAACTGAATACCATCTACCTGGCCCACATACATATTCAGCCGGCCATTCATGGTGTCAACCTCTCTTCTAGTTGCCTGGGCTTCGCTTCTGGCATCTATTGTGAAATTTTTGGATGTAAAGAGGTCACTTTGTATCTTATGCACATCGGTGGACATGGCCCCAAATGGTTGCTGAAGGCTCTAGATATCTCTGCTGGTACCTGTTGCGGTGGCGAAGATCTATCTCAACAACTGTGTATCCACATCAACTAGTGGTGGAGGAGCTTGTGGCAACTCCATATCTGCATCCGCTTGTCCTTTCGTGGCTTGTTACTGCTTGCGTCGCTCATTTTCTTCTTTCTCTCGGTTTTTTACCCTGGCTCGCTCTTGAGCCTCTAATGTAGTTTGCTTTATCGAGGGGATAGGTATTTCAGGTACCTTCTCTGATGGGATTCTGATGCTCGCAGCCCTGCATATACCACTGATGAGGCTTGAAAAGATCAAAGTGGCAAGCCGATTCCTCCAGGTTCCTATAGTGTATATTTGATTGTAGATGAGAGTGGCGAGATATATTTTGCACCCTGAACCAGATGATAAACGAACCCTGCTGTTTGATCAGTAAATGTAGTCATGTGTGATGTGGGCTCGATATTGTGGCACATGAAGAGCCATAGAATGGCTATAAATGGTGTGAGCTCGATCTGATGCCACTTAGTAGTTGTAAGGGGCCATGCATTTTCCCGCCCCATTAAAACCTCTACCATCTCATTCCAGTTGAATTTAGTTGGGATGGGAACCACATTGTCCATAGATAGCTGATAATAGTCATGGATGACATCCGGAGAAAACATGATCATATGTTCCAAACCTGGGGTGTCAATCTCACTGTTGAAGTTGGCATAGAACTCACGGACTAGACTCTCATATACTGGGTGTGGCCGTTCTACCAATTTGTGCCAACTACAAATCTGAACCAGGTCACCAATTCAAAACCCGATAAATCATCAAGTCGAACAAGTCTTTCAAGGAGCATCCCTCAATGGCATACGATGTTTTCATATCGGGCTACAATCTCAGCGTTTAAGAATCTTTGAATATATCCTTCGGGTTCCCTTGTTCGCGCTATTCCTGAATATGAGCTGACTTTTTCTTTTCCATTAAAAGTTCTCTTAGGAGGCATCCTACAAAAACATGCCAGTTTCAATTTAGACCATGAAGTATAATGGATTAGCAAGAAAGCGTGAAATATCAAACACGCAGCACAAAAACCCACCAAACTGGCTTCAAGATGTATGTATAACATGTTGGTACGCAATATTCATGAAATTAATGTCAAGATAGTATTAATATTGCAAAAATATGAAAACCAGCAAAATTAGGCCCAAACATGTACATTATGAAATTTTGACCCATGACCAAGTGAGGAATTTCACCCCCGAGCATCATTAAGAAATATTAAAATTTTCCCAGGCGATCTCTAGAATATGGAACTAATCAATGTATTCTTGTACATATTCAAATTTCAAGGTGATCGGAGGTCATTTAGTTAGGTAAATGAGGGGGCCAAGTGGGTAACTTATGGTGCTGTGACCTATCCAATTGTGTGCCTAAATTGTGGTCAAGTTGAATGGTTATGGTTTTCAATTCAAACCCTACGAGATTTACATCACAAAATGCACTCCAATTCAATTGAAACTCATGTCAATTGCAAGATTTGATAAAATCCATAACTTTCATCACCTAGGCATTTTAACAAACACTTTGTGTGCATTACCTTGAATTCCATCCTATAAATTATTTAATGAGTATAATCATCCTATAATGCACAAGCACACATATGTTCCATAATCTCACATCTACCTATGCCCTTTTACCACAAATTGCAAGAGTAAATCGAAAATAGCCGATAACCTAAGCATAAAGAAGGGAGAGAGACAGGATTCATACCTTTGAATTGATGATATGGGATGAATGTGTGAATTTAGTGATGAATGCTCCAATTGAAGTTGAGGTTTCGGTGTGCAATGGCGAGTTAGTGTCATGAATTTGGGGTTGGGAAGTATGCCCTAGCTTTGTAGATCTTAGGTGTGGAAGTGTGGGTGAGTGGCCAAGTTACGGGTTTCAACACCCGTAACTGGCCCCTCTATGCAACCACGTGGACTTAGTCCTTGCGGTCACATAGATGGAATGGTAGGGAATCAAGAATTCCTTGCCTATGTTGTTGCGGCCGCATAGTTGGTTGGTCTATGAGATCGTATAGACCACCAACCGGGCCACTTTTTTTAAAATTGCACATGGTATTAACTAATGATTATGCACATGAAAATCTAACACAATTGATTCCCAAAAACATGACTTAGCTCACATTTTCCCAAAATTTTGGTTTTCGATTAGTGAATTTGCTCGGCCTTCCCACATTCCCATACTTTTTGAAAAATACATTTTTAAACCATATGGATGACGTGTAGGCCATAGACATAGTGTCAAAACCAATTTTTGATTTGAAATCACACAATAACCTCAGAATTTTTTTAAAAAAATAACACTGTGCCTCGAAATGCTTGAATGCCACCCAATCACCCAAAACACCCACATCAATCCCAACTCATGCTCAATGCATAGGTCTTCGTGTGTGTAGTGCTTAGACTACTTTGACATGCATGGATGATCGATGACCTAACTATCAACAATGTGAACGTGAAATTGAAAATTTGCTAAGCTAATGCAAAAAAGCAAAATAAATTAAAAGGATACAATGGGTTGCCTTCCACCCAACACTAGTTTATAGTCAATAGCTCGACTTTCCCGTAGTTGCTTCGTTCTGGTGTCTCGAGTTGAACGGTGGATTTTTTCTTGGAGAAGTCACTACCCCAATAACGTTTCAGTCTTTCCCCAATAACTGTGAAGGTACCTTTAGTTTCATGGCTGACTTCTATAGCTCCATATGGCAAAACCTTTGTGATAGTGTAAGGGCCCGACCGTCTTACCCTTAATTTTCCCGGAAAGAGCTTAGTCTCGAATTATATAGTAGAACTTTCTAACCCACTTCAAACTCTCGCCTCTGAATGTGTAAGTCATGACACTTTTTGGCGCATTCTTTATAAAGCTTTGAGTTTTCATATGCTTCCATCCTGAATTCATCTAACTTAATTAGCTGTAGTAAACGATTTTCATCGATGGCCTTTAAATCCATGTTTAACTGTTTCATAGCCCAGTATGCATTATGTTCTATCATTAATGGGAGGTGGCACACTTTCCCAAAAGCCAGGAAATATGGAGACAAGCCTGTCAAGGTCTTGAATTCTGTTCTATATGCCCAAAATGCATCATCTAGCTTTATAGACCAGTCCTTTCGGGATGAATTCACTATAACCTCAAGTATTTTCTTCAACTATCGATTAGAAACTTCAACTTGCCCGCTGGTCAGTGGATGATATGGGCTAGCTATACGGTATTTAACGCCATATTTACTTAACAATTGTTCAAATTGGTAATTGCAGAAGTGTTTGCCCCCATCACTGATTATCAATCGCAGTGTGTCATATCTGGTAAAGATGTATCTTTTAATGAATCCAATTACCACCTTCGCGTCATTTGTTGGCAATACTACTACTTCTACCCACTTAGACACATAATCAATGACCACAAGGATATATTGATTGGAAAACGATAGGGAAAAAGGTCCCATAAGGTCGATTCCCCAGACGTCAAATATCTCAACTTCCAATATATTGTGAAGTGGTATTTCATTCCTTCTTGAGATATTCTCAGTGCGTTGACATCTATCACACCTCTTGACAAGCTCAAAAGCGTCTCTGAACAATTAGGCCAATAAAATCCTGACTGTAAAATCTTTACAGCAGTCTTTGAAGCTCAAAGTGTCCCACATAGGCAGATGAATGGCAATGCTCAAGAATCGTAAGTACTTCATCTTCAGGCATACTCCTCCTTACAATCTGATCAGCCCATCGCCTATAGAGAATAGGATCTTCCCAAAAGTAGTACTTCAGTTCGACAAAGAACTTTTTCCTCTGGTGACTTGAGTAATCTAGCAGTGGGATGGACTTAGCCAGATAGTTGATAATATCTACACTAAACATCTACTCATCTGAAAAAATCTCGTTGATGTCCCCTAACTCTTCTTGTTCTTCAAGTTCCAATCGCGATAAGTGGTTAACTACCACATTTTCACTGTCCTTTTTGTCCCAAATTTTGTATCAAATTCTTGCAACAGTAATACCTAATAGATTAATCTCGGCTTAGCATCCTTCTTTATCATCAGATATTTTAGTGTGGAGTGATCTGTGTAGACTATAACCCTAGACCCCACGAGATATGGCCTAAATGTGTCAAATGCATTTACCACAGCCAAGAGCTTCTTTTCAGTAGTTACGTAGTTGGTCTGGGCATTATTCAAGGTTCTACTTGCATAATAAATCACATGGAAGACCTTGTTCCTTCACTGTCCCAATACTATACCCACAGCATAGACACTGGCATCACACATTAGTTCTTAAGGCAGTTCTCAATCTGGTGCTACAATTATCGGTGCTGATGTGAGTTTCTCCTTCAAAGCGTTGAAAGCTATCAGGCATTCCTTATTAAATTCAAAATGCACATTTTTCATTAGTAGGTTGCATATTGGCTTAGTGATTTTTGAAAAATCCTTGATAAATCTCTGTAAAACCCAACATGTCCCAAGAAACTACGAACCCCTTTAACTGATGCTGGCAGCAGTAGCTTCACAATGACCTGAATTTTTTGCTTTGTCCACCTCAATTCCTTTCGTTAAGACCCGATGTCCTAGCACAATCCCCTCTTGCACAATAAACTGGCATTTCTCCCAATTCAACACCAAATTAGTTTTCGTGTATCCTTGTAAGACCAAATTTTAAGTGTTCCAAACACTCGTCAAACAAAGACCCAAAGATCGAAAAATCATCCATGAATATCTCTATAAACTTCTCTACCATGTCTGAGAAACTTGCCATCATGCATCTCTGAAATGTGGCGAGGTGTTGTAAAGGTCGAAGGGCATCCTGGGATATGTGAAGGTACCATAGAGGCAAGTAAAGGTTGTTCTCTTGGTCATTGCATCTGATTGTAACCTGAATACCCATCGAGGAAGCACTAATGTGAGTGGCCCATCAATCTTTCCAGCATCTGATAAATAAATAGAAGGGGAAAGTGATATTTTCTTGTAGTTGCGTTGAGTTTACGGTAACCGATGTAAATCCTCCATCCCGTCACTGTTCTGGTCGATATTTGTGACAACCCCAAAAATAACATTTAATTCAAAACTTTATTTAAAGTACCAACTACAAATTTTCATTTGCAAATAAACATGTACACAAATTTATTCATAAAAAATGTCTATTGCAATAAACTTAAAATAAATAAAATTACCTACCAACTTTGATCTTTATCCACCGAAAACAACGCACAAACACACCATCGAACCACCACGCTCCGAAACGATCCGATCTAACCTGTGCGGTGTAGGAGAAAAGGATGAGTAAATAAGAATACTCAAAAGGATATAAAAATTTTAATGGTGCGATCCTGATTAATAATTTTAAACACATATGTTAAAATATCATACTGTCTCATATATTTAAAATTTGGTAAGAGCTCATATCATATCATTGTACCGGAATGGTCATATCATTCATATCATAGCATTTCATAACATGATTTTAACTTTAATGAGTAAAATTAATCAACATGTAAAAATAATAATTAAACGAGACACAAAACACTGCACCTTGAAATCCTACCTTGATTGGTGATAACGATTGTTAGAAGACAAGCAAGAAATTCACGTTCACAAAAATTCTCTAATGCAGTGCGTGTTTATCCAAACAGTGTATTATAATTTTATTTTATTTCTTATTCCCAACTTGAAATATTGATTTATGGTATAATAGAATTCACTTTCATAATATTTGCGTCACCATAAAGTCACACGTTTTCTCTTTCCCATGTAATTGGCTTAATTTATTTGTTGTCCTTCAATTTTACACGTGTTTGCCAAATTTTTCATACTCAAACATGGTAGTTTACCTAATTCTACAATACAATTCACTCTTTTGGTGGCCCAAATCATGATATGTCATGTACTAGGTCAAAAGTACCTAATATAATATACTATGTCCCTTTTTTAAAATTAAAAAAAAAAAACATTTTACCTAACCCCTATTCAATCTACACGTGATTGGCACCATTTATAAATTCAAGATAAATATAAATAATTACCAATACTTGACAAGGACTATAAATTTCATTATATATATATGTTATTTTAGTCTCCCAGCTTTCCAAGTTTAAAACATAGTATATGAAATAATTAATTCTGGTAAGTAAAAATTTTCGGGACTTTACAATATTAGCTCATTCTTCTCATTTGGCACTACTGTTATTCCACCTTTCTTTGGCACCACCTGAACTGAGCTGATCCATGCACTGTCTAATATCGAATATATAATTCCTGCATCTAGAAGCTTGAGTACCTCTGCTCTGACCACTTCCTTAATATTTGGGTTCAACCTCCTTTGACTCTCTATGGTTAGCCAAAAATTCTCCTGCATAAGAATCTTATGCATATATAATGAAGGGCTGATCCCTTTGATATTTGCTATTGTCCATCCAATTGTTGTTGTATTCTCTCTGAGTACCCTAAACAGTTTCTCCTCTTCCACTTCACAAACTGTGTTTGAGATAATGACCGGAAGTGTACAATACTCCTCCAAATATGCATATCTGAGATGTGGTGACAGCTGCTTTAGTTCTAATTTCGATGGCTATTGAATGGATAGTAGTGGCTTAGTGGGTCCCATACCAAACTCCTCAAAATGCTTTCTGCGTGTATAAGGTGGATTGGTATCCTAAAACCTTGCACATGTTTCCATCTCCACTGAATCGAAATGTGTTAACTGAGAGTGTACAATGCAAGCTTCATAAGCATATGATGGATTCTGTAGAAAAAATGAGTCTTAAACCACATTGTCAATCACGTCGATCTGGAAGCAACTATCTGATTCTGTAGGTTGTTTCATTGCCTTGAAGACGTTAAACGAAATCTGCTCTTCTCCCAATCTCAAAATCAATCGCCCATTCGGAACATCAATTAAAGTTTTCCTTATTGCCAAGAATGGTCTGCCAGTATCAAAGGGACGTCCTTGTCTTCTTCCATGTCCAAGATGAGGAAATCCACAGGGAATATGAATTTTTCAACCTTGATAAGCAGATCCTCTATTATCCCCCTAGGATGTGTAAATGACCTGTCAGTCAATTGCAGTGTTACTGTCGTCGCCTTAGCCTCTACCAAGCCAAGTTTCTTGAAAATAGACAGAGGCATTAAATTTATACTTGCATCAAGATCATATAAGGCTTTATCAAAATAAACTTCACCAATAGTGCAAGGAACAGTAAAACTCCCTAGATCTTTCAATTTCGGTAGGAGCTTTTTCTGAATTCCTGTGCTTCATTCCTCTGTTAGCATTACTATCTCGTAGTCCTCTAGCTTACATTTATTTGATAGGATATCCTTCAAGAATTTTACGTGGCTAGGCATCTAGACTGATGCTTCGGGGAACGGGATGTTTACGTGGAGCTTCTTGAAAATTTCGAAAAACTTTTTATATTGCTGCTCCAACTTTTGCTTCTTTAGCCTTTGTGGAAAAGGTATGGAAGGCTCATAAAGGTTGACAGTTGCTGTTTCTTTATCCTGTGATTTGCCTAGTCCTTCAGCTGGGGTAGATTCATTTATCTGCTCATTATTCTCCAATCTCTTCTACCACAAGAGATGTTATTTCTCGATTTACACCCAACCTTTTTACATGTATCTCAGGTAGCTGCTTTCCACTTCGAGTTGTAATTGCCTTAGCTTGTTCTTTCGGGTTTATTTCTGTGTTACTTCGCAAACTGTCTGGTGCTCGGCACGTCAAAGCAACTGCCATCTGTCCTATTTGAGTCTATAAATTTTTGATAGCTACATTCTGGTCTTGAAGAGTGGCCTTAATTTTTCACATGAATTGATTATTAGCCTCCATGTACTAATTTTTCTTCTCCATGAATTTATCAAACATCTCTTCCAGTTGAGGCTTTTTTTTTACTGCTAATACTGGCCCTGTGGCCTATTTTGGTTTTGGTTGCTCCAAGAGAAATTAAAGTTTTTTTTCCAACTTGGATTGTATGTTTTCCCAAATGTATTGTTCTACTAACATTGTCTCCATTGAGCAAAATCTGCCTACTCTATTCCTTGTACTAAGATTGAACACTTTGTTGTTACATGTTCGGCTCCACATTCCTCACAACTAGCCTTCTTCAGCTGTGCTGCTTTAGCTGATTGTGACATGTTTTCCACCTGGTGAAATAATGAGTCAATTTTGGTAGACAAGGCAGAATAAACATCCACTTCATAAACTCTCGGTGTCCTCTTCTGAACTGCTAGTTCCGATGTCCACATAGCTGAAGTAGTAGTCATAGTCTCGATTAGTTTCAGTGCTTCATTAATTGTTGTTGTGGATAGTGATCCGTTAGATGTCGAGTCGACCATGCTCTTGAAGGCTAAAAGTAATCCCCAATAAAAGTATTAGACCTAGAGTCCCTTGCTAATTCCATGATGTGGACACCTTAACGGAAAATAGATATGTCATGCTTGAACTTTGCAATCTTGGCGGGCAGGAAGAATTGGGCGCAGAATTTCTGAGCTAGATCGTTTCATGTAGTGATGCTGGCGATTGGTTGCGAATCTAGCCATTCGATTGCCTTGTCACGCAGTGTATGTGGGAACAACCTCAATCAGATTGCATCATCTGAGATTCCTTGATATCTGAAGTGTTGGTACATCTCCAAAAAGTGAGAGACATGCGTATGTGGATTCTCTTCAATTCTTCCATAGAATTGATGTCCGTTTTGAAATAGTTGTATCACGTTGGTCTTCAATTGGAAGTTAGGCTACCCAAACGGTGGATACACGATGCTCGACTAGCTTTGAATTATCTAAGGAGTCATAAAATCTCCTACAAGCATATTGCCTTCATCTGATGCCCCTTATTCATTGGCTTGAAAAATAGGATTGTTCTATACATTAGCCATT